ACTTTTATTATTTTTATGCTAGTGAGAACCAAAACAATATGGAAATGAATGAGGGAAAACTGGATCCTACCACGTGATTTCCCGGGCAATAAAAATTTAGCGTTAAACGTTTAACGCAACCTTGTTGGAAGTCGCATAAGAAGTATAACTTCAAAAAAAGTGTTACTAATTATTATAGAAGAGGAAAGCTCAAATTTGGCATACATACTTCGTTTAAAGATAATTATATATCAGTGTAACTATTACCACTAAGTTTACTAATTTGCAAAGATTTAGATATTCTTACTCTTATTTTCAATTTAAAGTACTCATTGAAAAATTAACTAACTACATTTCTATTTACATATTTATTAGATTCAAAAATAAAGTTTTTCTTAAATAATAATATTTTATATTTTATCATTTTTCGCAGAAAAAGAATTAGTACAATATAATACCATAAATATTTATAACACAAATAATTGGACATGACTTTCTCTTTAAAATTGAAGTGCCAACAAGACCGAAAAACCATTGTAGATACCGAAACATAAACTTAGAAACTAAGCTAATGTCTCTTAAGGCCTGGTTTCTTAGGACAGGACGCCGTCAGCTGGAAATCAGCGCTAACCTCTGATTTGTCCATTTGTGAGTTTGATAGTATACGTCATCGAACGCATACTATCAAACTCACAAATGGTCAAATCAGAGGTTAGAGCTGATTTCCAGCTGACGGCGTCCTGTCCTAAGAAACCAGGGCTTTAATTGTATCTTAAATCGTCTTTACATCGTGCATCAATTGGATGTCAATTGCAACAAAAGTGAAGGAGTGTAAATAATGCACTGCTGATGTTAGCAACCAGTTAATGCAATATCAAATTCAGTCTCACAGCTTGTACCCTTCACTGCAAGTTACTTTACCTAGCCCATACGATTAATACTTTTAGCAACAAATTCGTCATTAGCTCTTTTATTAATCAAAATTGTTACAAGTAGATTCCTTTTATTTTTTATTTAATTGTATGTGAGTTATGAGCTAGAATTTGTCTCGCTGTATTTTAAAAAGAAAACGATGTGGGTTTCAGGTTGTCTTGACGATATGACGAAATAAATTGTGTAAATAAACACAACACTTTAATTTACACAAGTTGATCTATCATATCGTGGCAGCAACCTGAAATCCACATCGTTTTCTTTTAAAAATAAAACGAGACAAGTTCTAGCTTATAGCTCATTCATAATTAAATAATAAATAAAATGATTCTATTTTGATCAAAAATTTTCTTTTGTGGAAATAATAAGGTATTAATTTGCAGTGATCATGTTTTTATCTTCTTCGCATAATCTTAATGTTTTTTTTTAATTTTCTGTGTAGAATTTGTTCCATTTGAGGCTGAAAAAGACGAAATAATTTTGACATTCACATCTTCGGACAGCAGCCGTTCGAACAACTTCGATATTCAAGTAACGCAAATGCCTGGTCCATGCGACGGTTCCCCGTCTCCCAACATAACAGGTACAACCTTGGAAGGGGGACTGAGCACTCTTGCACAAAATTCACAGGTGGAGACAAGCACTCTTGCACAAACTGTATCGGTGGAGACAAGCACTCTTGCACAAACTTCAGAGAATTAGTGCACTTGCATTACTTACTAACAATAAATTTCTTAGTAACTGCAATGTGATTTTACGATTGCAATTTCTCTAGCGCTGTGATTTCTATTTGTTTGTGATGGTTTATAATGGTGACTTGTGATTTTAAACTACATCGTCATGCATGCATATTAAATAACATTTCTTCATTTCATATCATTAGTGTAGACGTATATCATCGGAATTCTTACAGAAATCCATATTGCTTTATAACAGTAGTAAGTATGTTACCCCAGCAATCTGCCAAGAGGTATAAAAACAGTTCAAATGAGTAAAACAGATTTTAAAGTCTTCAGACTTTTTCTACCACTGGTATTTTGCCAAAGCATAAAATTTATAACATTTACTCAATCAATCGGAGTGAAGAAACGCACGCCAAAATAGTAAAAAAATATGTATTAGACAATTTTTTTAAAATTAAAATCTAATTTAACAATCTGTTCATACTTAACACCACAGGCTACCACTATCAAGGACAGATATTAAGATTAAAAATTTGGGCTTTTAATACTTGAAACAAACTGAAATAAATTATTAGGTCTACCAGGAAATTCTGTCCACGAAAGAACACGCCTCATTATACGAAGATGCAAAAGGCGTCTTTATCTTATATAAAAAAAATGTGTTAGAGCATTTACTCTTAATTGTATACATCAGATGCTACTGCTTTGTTCTACCGGTTACTTTCGTTACTAGTTTGAACATGCATGCACATGATCTTTTGAGCCATATATGCTATGTCTCTTTAAGCTAGAACATTACCATTGAGTTAAAAGTTAAATACCTTACCACTTTCTTTTAAAGAACTTTTTGCATTGCTGTGAAAGGAGGCGTATACTTTCGTGGACATTAGATGATCCTCTACCGGGAAGTAGTTCACCCCAATTAATAAACATACCCTAATTTATTTATTATTCTATTTTGCTCATAATCAGATCACCCTCTAATACTCACTAAGCTATGGATACTCCTGAGGAAATGGAAATGACTACTAAGATGATCCTCGACTCGGGAGTATAGCACCCCAACAGTTAAATTACTATATATTCCTTTAAGTACACAACAGCCCTGGATAGAGCACCATCATCTACCTTAAATATACTACCTTCATAACTTATGGATACTTCTGAGGAGAGGAAATGACTATTAAGATGATCCTCGACTAGGGAGTATTCTATTCTCCAGATTACACTAGTTCTCTAGTCGTTCCATAAGCCGCCAATTACCCAATCACCTCCTATGCCTAACGCCAAAAGTCACAGTCGCCCAAGTGCCAAATAGAGAGATAACGAAGTCAGATACCCGCTGCGCGGTCAGGTACTTCGCAAAACCACATATCAAGTCAAATCATACTTTCGTGGACAGAACTTTCCGGTAGACCTAATAATCACTAAGAAATCATGTTACTTTGAACTTTCTTCCAATAAAAGGAAATTTTATTAATCACCACTTTTTTTATATATTGTTTTTCGCTAATTCCATATTTGATATTAGTATCACGTAAAACCACTTATTGTATACTGTTCAAACATCTAACAAATGAATGTACATTCCAAAAAATGGCTTTTATGAACAAATAAAAAGAATACATTAAAAATATTTAATAAACTTCCCCAAACGTGTAGTAAATTTTATTTAAAGTTGAACAAAACTTATTTCTTTCTTTAAAGTATTTTTTCGAGTTCCTGTATTCTTCTACTAACAACACAAAATATAAAACCTTATAAAAACACACAAATTTACAACTTTGAAGACAGAAAGAATAAGACTTACTATTTTTCCAAACATGTAAACAATAGACATTCTGCGTTAAACCAGCGTGAAACAAGATTTAACGTAGATACTTCATTTTGACACTTTTTATTAAAAATGCTTGTAAAAAAATTAATAAAATAAAGCAAATATTTGGATACCTACAAGTGACGTCATCGTAGGAAAATCATGGCAATTTTCGATTCAGAAGCCAATCAGGTTCGACACACCCCTGTGGCATCGCTTATAGACATCGAATTAAATCTTATTTAAACCACATGGTTAGGCATAATCCGTCCACTTCTTCTCAAATTGCAAGTATCCAATTGCAAAATTTTTTTTATGAGAAATTTGTTCTCAGATGGTCAGCTGCTTTGCAACCATAGGAAAAACTACCATAGCAAAAATCTATTATCGACGAGAAAAATCTAAAGTGTTTATGAAATTCTTTTAGTTGCATAGCAATGGAGAGGATATTGATAAAATTTTCCCATAGGTCTTGAATTATGATGAAAAAAATCCCTTAACGCAGTGTGTTGCAAGTGACAAGTCTAATACGATTGACTCACTGACCTGAATTATTATTTCTTGAAAATGCTTTCTAATAATTCAATGAAATTTTTACAATTAATAAAATAACTGAAAACGATAAAACTGCAGTTCCGAAAATGAGTTCATATTTAATCGTTAAGCGTAACTTATTTCTTATTTGCTAAAAGTTGAAAATTAAAATAATCGAAAATCTATCTTTTTGAACTATTCTTGTTCCTCTTGTCAGATTGCCAGCTACATGACTAAAAAATCTGGTCCAACAGTATTGGCGTTTACTATTAAATCATTATGTCTGCATGTTCATTTGTAAGAAAAAAATTTAATTATAAGAATATTTCTTTACATAAGTTACTGACAGAAGGGGAAATTTGGCATTGTAGACGACAATGCCGAAAATCGGCTGGCGATGTATGAAATGATGAAGCATTTCAGAAATTGCTTATTCATTACATACGATGCCCCATAACAAACAGGCAAAGTAAGAAATATGAATATTTAGTACTTTTAATTGATATGATTATACTTGAAAGAAATTTATTAGAGCATCAAATAAGTTCCTATTTTATTTTTATTTTTGTAGTGAAAAAATCAGAAATTTTTTGCAATCTTCATGAATTACCGGGATCATTAACATAGTTGAAATGTGTGTGGCGTTGCTTAGTATACGCTTAACCAGTATTTCTTACACTGAGGTTAAGTTTAAGGGCAATAGCTCGGTATTCTCTACGTTTTTGTTTTTCTAACTGAATATTAATGATAACCAAGTAAGCCTGTTTTTGCCTAAAAACACCAGGATCGCATTTCCCATTTTGCCAGTAACTTATATGTGAAGAGTAATAATAATTTAAATACATATCTATAAATTATTTAAGTTTATTTATATGCATAAATGAAATAATTCCTATTTCTGTAGAAAAATTTCATGTTGCAAATTTATTTGTTGCATTTGTATCAAATTCACTTGTAAAAAGATCTGTTTGCATACTTTATTTTTTATCATCGCAAAATTAATAAATTAAAAAAATAAAATATCACAATAATGAATTGTTTTTCTAAATTTATATCTATAAAATTCATTTTCTCAAAATGATCTTCCCAAAACCCAAGCTATAGGTAATCCATGAAATATTTTCTGATATCTATAAGTTATTTCCAGAAAAAGAAAGAGATTTTTCCTATCAAAATGATTAATTTCGCTAACTGATCTTACAACAATAGCTTACCTAAAGTCAAAGTATTCCACAATAATTATTTCCTGTTGTTAATGCATTATATTTACAGAAAAAAAGTTTGCACAAAAGTAATAATTATCTAATTTGCCATTTTAATACATTTATCATTCAGTTGGCAATCAATTTTACAAGAACCTAAGGAGGAAGCTAGGGGCTAGTGACCTAAGCTATGGAACTTGAAGCATGATTGTCGGGCCTTTTTGCCACCCTGAATATATTATCAATGTACCACTATATATTATATTACCTAAATATATTACCACTATATATTATTACCCGATTCTAATTGATATACGCCTATTTGAAGCAACAAAATTAATTAAACAGATTAATTAAATATTGCCCTTACTTTCGCTTGATTTATACTATCGTATTTTTGTTACCGTTATCAGTGTTATTTACCCTCAAATAAAAATAGCAAAAAAATTACCTTATCTATTAAAAAAGTACAGCCCTTGTCAAAAATTTCAGCATGTTTTTTTTTCTTTTTTTTTTTAAATAATTCAAAACAGTAGACACGGTATTGGTCCAAAACCTTGTTTGTAGGATTTGTTTTCAAAATAGGAAACGAAAATACGTTGTTACTCTATATTTACGCAGAACGTTTGGGAAAGTTTGCGTTCATCAAAGTACCTACCTTTGGCCTGTATAACAGCTTTTCATACGCAAGGCATTCGTTTGAAAAATGTATCGAAAGTTTGTCAAAGTACATGACTCTAGAAGCTTTGAAAAGCCCTCTATAGGTCTGTATTTGTTATCATCTACTTAAAGATATTCCTCACCTGTTCATCTTACAGAAGATCGATTGGTGACAGATCTAGAGACTGTGATAGCTACTCCATTTTTTGATGGTTAGAGCACCTTTTTTGTTTCTTAGATAATTACTACAAAACTTGGAATTATGCTTTGGATCATAATTTCATTTGAAAACTAGACCACACTCCAAAATTCACGTTCATGTCGCATTAATATGTTGCTATACACATTTTGCTTCAGTATTCAGTTGCTTCTAACTAAATAACTAACTTGCTTGCCTGCAATACATCTTGCCACGGTGACATTGTCTCCTCCATATGCTTCACTGCAAGCACCACTCAATCGGGATGGATGCGCTCATTCAGGTAAACGACTCCCAAAAGTTTGGTGATGAAACCGAATAATTAGAATTCAGATTATTCGATCCAGAGAACCTTTTTTCTTTGTACCTCGGTTCAGTTTTTAGTTTTTGCCCAGAAGTACCTTTTTTTTTAATGTTTGCTTTTTTTCGGATGTGTTGTTTCTTTACCGACGTCCTACCCCAAAGACCACAGGTTTCCGATCACGAGGAACTAATACCAGGAACCATAGGTTTCAAGTACCAGGAACTATAACTAGGAATCATAGGCTTCCAAGCACCAGGAACCATAGGTTTCCAAGCACCACCGTTCTGTCTGATATCGACTGAGAGTGACTCTTTCGTATTCCTCTTGCTACTTCTGCTGAAGAGGATAAAAATTGATTACTTGTGTGCTTATTGTCACTATAAAGGTTCAATAGAAGTGATTATTTTTGAGTGATCAGTTCATTTTCTTGTAATATTTTTACCAGTTTTTGACCTTCTTTCTATAGTTCGACGCACTACACCGATTATTTCTTCAGCCCCTGGGCAATTTCCCGCTGAAGAAAGCCCTATTTTTTCAAAATTATTACAGTTCTTCTCTTGTTTCAATTATTAATGAGAACTAAAAGTGTATGTGTAGAACTTAAGTGTCCAACACGTATATCGACACTTAATTCACATTTCTTAATATATATATATATATATATATATTAATGGATTAACATAAATAATTTTTGATCTAATGATTGGATCTTCACGNGCATTTGAAGGTTCTTCACGCAATACAATCGGTAAAAATGAATGAATATATATAAGAGGGGTGTTTAGTTTGAAAGCAAGTTCAATTAACAAAGTTTTGGATCGATGCGGTGTATTCTGTTTGGAAGTTCCTGTAAAAACAGGAATATGCTTAGACTTTTGATAAGGACTGTATATCTAATAAAAAATGTAAACTCGTTATGAAATAGAAACTTAAAAAGAATACTCTTAAAAAAATTATCATATATTGTTCTGAATACCAGCATAATTTCATAAGTACCAGTCAGTATTTCATGCTCAATATTTTTTAACTTTTCGATGACAGGAAGTAGTACTGTACAAAACAAAGCAAAGCAAAGGGGTTAAAGCAAAAATAAAGATACAGAAATTGGCATGCTTTAGTTTCTGTTCCATAAACAATAGCGCAAAATTTTGCGTCCAGGCACACAGGAAGATTCTTGTTTAAGAGAACTGAAACTATAATATGTCCATTTCCGTACCTTTATTTGTGCTTTATTAGCGTTGTTTTGCTTTATTTATGCAAAGTACAAAGTATACCCAATCCTCATTTAGATAATACTAAACTGTTAGCAAGCACCGATTCTTCAGCTAAAGACGATGATCAAAAATATGGGAGAACTTCTTGAAAATATAAAAGGAAATACACGCCTTTTTCACTTCTTTTCTCAGAGCAGTGAAACTGCCACTTATTAGTAGTTATTATATGTATATATATATTTGCTGGTGAAATATTCAAAGAAGATTCAAACACTACACCCCTAGCTCATTTTTTTCACGACCGATGCAATTCTCTCAAATGAATTTTACTCTAATTAATAGATCTAACAAAAAGAAAAAAAAGGCCTGTCTTAGAGCCAGATAACTTCAGTATTTTATGACTACATGCGATTGGCACTCTCTATTTTAATTGATAATTTTATAGGCACTGCAATCACGTTCAGTGGCGCTGCAACCGCAACTCTTTAGCTCGGCAATCGCATCACAATAGTCAATTGCATCTTTATTACGATTTTGCAAGTCAATCTTTTCTCTTAATTTCTTCTTTTAATTTATGATTAAAGCTAATGCAAGACTTAATATCCCATTATGAAGAGTTAAAATGCCCCTACGAGGCCTAAAGGCCTAGAACAACCAAATGACTATGATTTTCGCTAAAGTGAAGCAAGTGTGTATGTTTTAACAGTTAATAATTGGTGAGAGTGCTTAATAGTTTACTTATTTTGAAATAAAGATTGAAGTAAGCTCCCTTTACCACTAGTGCTTTACATTTTCTGAAAATTGACAAACCTGATTAGAAGTTAGCATTTTTACATCATACGCATAATTACAGCATGCGCATCATTACAACATGCGAATTATGACATCATACTCTTGCATTACTATGCATTCTTACATCAATTAGTGCATGATCCATGCAACTGAGCATGGAGGCCCCTTTGAGTATCAGGACTCCTCTCCCCGTAAGTCTAAGTAATTTTATTGAAAAAAAATGACCAAAAAAATATCTTGGAATTTGACTGATCATATAGGCTATTTACAGAAGAATATTTTGTCAGCATTCTAATTGTAACAAGATGAGCGATGAATTAAATTTGAAAAATAATCAATTGGACATAAAAATTAACATAGGGATATAGAATGTGTGACTTTATAAAAGTAATTTTACTTTTTAACAACATATAAATATTGAGATTTATATCTAGCAACATCTAATCTTTTTCTATTAACTTTTTTTTATTTATTAAATTTTTGTTACTTTTGACGTTAAGTCAAGCTACGGATTATAAAATGAAGAACTTGAGAGAGATAAATATATTTTTATACAAATCATTATTAAATTTCATTATCATTATTATCATTATGGATATATAATCATTATTAAAAGCAAAAAAAAAAGTTAAAAATATTCGCGGAAAAAACACTTAAAACTAGCAATTATTCTCAAGCAAATTAAAATTTCTCTCAATTATCAATTTTTAAATCTGGATTAGCTCCTAAAGGTTACCTGTTCCTGTCCCCTCCTATGACCTATCCCGTTTTACCCTGTGAGCAAGAGTTATTGAGACGAAACAGAATCATACCACTACTAGGTAAATCGTTATTGCTAGTTAGAGTGTTAATCTTCAGTAAACGTATAATAAGCTGGACTAAAAAAAGCTTGTATAACTTTAATCTATATAAATAAAGCAGAATGTTTCTATGTATGTGGGTGGGTGTATATACACCTCACACAAATCCGCAATTCAGAACTGATCAGCACAAAATTTGGCGTATATGTTACCGTTAACACGTTGAATTACATGGGGATCACCGGAGACCGTGTTTGTTCGTAGCTCCACGGGTGTCACCGGTGACCGGCGAAGCCATGATTAGTAGAAACACATAACTCGAGTAAATTTAAAAAATTTTTTATATCATTATCGTCACTAAAATGGTTTGAAGAAATTAATGCAATATAGAACACGTAAAAATAGTTTTATTTATATACACAGAGATGCCAACTTGCTCCGGACAGCGAATAAATATTTTCAAGTGGTAGTTTATTAATTGTGATTCTTGGTTTAATAAATTCAATTTAGTAGATTTTTATCCACCATTATTTCTAAACAATTCGTAGGCTTATATAATTCACAACTTTTTTCAGATATGTCGTGCTAAACCTTTTTAAAAACTAGCTAAATCTGTCTAACATTTGCAAATTCAGTTTGTAGTTATTTACCGTTTTGGCCAGACGGGCAAGCTATGTAAAATTAGCATGGCATTCAACGTGTTAAAGTGTATAATTCAGTTATTTCATAGAATAACTAGGTATTTCATAATATAACTATAGACAAATCAGTTAAAGTACGTAATAGATAAAAAAAATTCCATACTTTACCTAGTTGTTCTACGAAATAACAAATAATAGACCGTTTTTGTGAAAAATAAACAAT